GCAAATTGAAATTGCGAATTGAAAATTCGCCCAATGGAAACTCGTAAACTTCGCAAAAACTCCCATATATCGCAAAAAAGGTTTTATGCTTGCATGAGGTGGTTTTGCAGGCAATTCGAAAAAGGAATATTTCGCAAAACTGCAATGGAAACAGTTTTTGCGCATTTACAGGTCATGTGACGTAGATGACGTGGTATGTTTGGACAGAAGACAAGACAGAGTTCTTTATTAAACTCATAAAAGACAAAAGAATAAAAGAATACTGGATTGTAAACCACAAAGAAATACCACAATCAAGACCTTGAAGCAGAAAGGAGGGAGAAATACCCAGAAACATGTGCCGCTCCCAAGTATAACGGTCTTTCCTTGCCATTAATACTTGGACAACACGCCTACGTCTCCTTCCATTAAAAACACTGGCTAGTGTGGTGGCTGCGATTTATATAAACTTACCAACATCCGTTGCCATGATTTTTAGAAAGGAAAAAATTACGCTTTAGTCGCATAACATCGGTTAATGGAAACGCCGTCATTTCGCAATCGTTTTTATCGACATTTAGAAAATATCGTAAAAGTTTTGCGCAAATCTGTAATGGAAACGCGGCATTGACTCCGCGTCAAGTCGTGAGCGCATTACCACCTCGGGTGTGCGTTATTTTTCTAATAATTCAACGGCCCATCATCAATTATTCCATATATATACAGTATATATATGTGTATATGTGTGTGTGTGTGTATGTATAAGTATATGTTTGTCTGTATGCAGTATGTATTGAAACAACCTTAAAAAGTTGCTGGCAGCAGCAGAGCGTAGGCAACACATCTCTCTCTCTTTTTTTGGAGACAAAAGGCACAGGTTTTTGCTCATGCTGTTGAGATCAGATTTGTTTAAAAAGAGTTTTTGCCTTTTTGATTGTTTAGCCTTTATCCAAGTTGCAGCAGTGTGAAATATTACATGTTTTTGATATTGCATGTATACAATCAGATAAGGGCACAAAGCAATGACCTATAAAAACTATTCACTTCACCTTTAAATAGCCTTACCCGCTTTCTCTTTCCCTGCATCAAGTTCACTTTGGTCCACACAACTCCTTTTAATCTGCCTTTTGCATACCCTTCACATGGCGCCCTGCCTGGGGATATTCGTCTGCATCTTCCCTCCAAGGGCACTGTTGATGAGCTTTTCATCCGCCGCATCCTAAAGTGTTTATTAGCATAATAAAACTCCTCTTGCTGTCTATGCATGCCCAATCAGGCCTTCAGGGATCCTCCGCCATCCCGGGACACATTGCTTTTTGTATAGTGATTATTATTGTTAGCTTTGGGTAACTTACGAATCTGACTGCATGACCTTTCTGCGAAGTTTGCACACTTCAGTCAATATTTTTATATATATTTTTAACGTATGTTTTAAGTATGAGAGCTAATCTATTGATTTAGAAGTTGAGTGAGTTAAACAGATATAAAGGAGAAACATATTCATTTAATTTATTGTACGACACATTAATGTTAACAGTGATATTTTTTGTAACTTTTTGTATGCCACCAGTATTGACTATGACACTATGACTATGTCCATCCTCACAAGAGCCTTTGGTCATTCATACGGCTCACGTTGCACTGTCATTGTTTTACATTTTGGATGACATAATGGATTTAGATCACCACTTTTGCGAGCAACACAATCTCAAAAAGCAATTTACGATGAATCACAACATTTCAGAGCTTAATAAACTCACAGGCATTGTGTATATGTGTGTGCATCCATATACAGTGGGGAGAACAAGTATTTGAGTGAGAAAAGCTGTAAAATCGGCAAAGCATGTAGAAGTCTGTAATTTTTTTTTATCATAGGTACTCTTCAACTGTGAGTGACGGAATCTAAAACAAAAATCCAGAAAATCACTTTGTATGATTTTTAACTAATTCATTTGCATTTTATTGCATGACATAAGTATTTGATACATCAGAAAAGCAGACCTTAATATTTGGTACATAAACCTTTGTTTGCAATTATAGTGTTCATACGTTTCCTGTAGTTCTTGACCAGGTTTGCACACACTGCAGCAGGGATTTTGGCCCACTCCTCCATACAGACCTTCTCCAGGGGTGTCGCTGGGCAATATGGACTTTCAGCTCTCTCCAAAGATTTTCTATTGGGTTCAGGTCTCGAGACTGGCTAGGCCACTCCAGGACCTTGAGATGCTTCTTACGGCGCCACTCCTTAGTTGCCCTGGCTGTGTGTTTCGGGTCATTGTCATGCTGGAAGACCCAGCCACGACCCATCTTCAATGCTCTTACTGAGGGAAGGAGGTTGTTGGCCAAAATCTCGCGATACATGGCCCCATCCATCCTCCCCTCAATACGGTGCAGTCGTCCTGTCCCCTTTGCAGAAAAGCATCCCCAAAGAATGATGTTTCCACCTCCATGCTTCACGGTTGGGATGGTGTTCTTGGGGTTGTACTCATCCTTCTTCTTCCTCCAAACATGGCGAGTGGAGTTTAGACCAAAAAGCTCTATTTTTGTCTCATCAGACCACATGACCTTCTCCCATTCCTCCTCTGGATCATCCAGATGGTCATTGGCAAACTTCAGAAGGGCCTGGACATGCGCTGGCTTGAGCAGGGGAACCTTGCGTGCGCTGCAGGATTTTTCATCCATGACGGCGTAGTGTGTTACTAATGGTTTTCTTTGAGACTGTGGTCCCAGCTCTCTTCAGGTCATTGACCAGGTCCTGCCGTGTAGTTCTGGGCTGATCCCTCACCTTCCTCATGATCATTAATGCCCCATGAGGTGAGATCTTGCAAGGAGCCCCAGACCGAGGGAGATTGACCGTCATCTTGAACTTCTTGCATTTTCTAATGATTGCGCCAACTGTTCTCACCAAGCTGCATGCCTATTGTCCTGTAGCCCATCTCAGCCTTGTGCAGGTCTACAATTTACCCCTGATGTCCTTACACAGCTCTCTGGTCTTGTGGACCCATTGTGGAGAGGTTGGAGTCTGTTTGATTGAGTGTGTGGACAGGTGTCTTTTATACAGGTAACGGGTTCAAACAGGTGCAGTTAATACAGGTAATGCGTGGAGAACAGGAGGGCTTCTTAAAGAGAAACTAACAGGTCTGTGAGAGCCGGAATTCTTACTGGTTGGTAGGTGATCAAATACTTATGTCATGCAATAAAATGCAAATGAATTACTTAAAAATCATACAATGTGATTTTCTGGATTTTTGTTTTAGATTCCATCACTCACAGTTGAAGAGTACCTATGATAAAAATTACAGACTTCTACATGCTTTGTAAGTGGGAAAACCTGCAAAATCGGCATTGTATCAAATACTTGTTCTCCCCACTGTACGTGCTCGTTTATCTGGGCATGATCGTGCCGCGGAATAGACATCAGCTTAAAACAACAACAAAATGTCCTATGTGTCACAAAAGTAGCTAGATTTGCTTTTCTGCAAAATGCTGTCCTGTAAACAATGAAAATATAAATGAAAAATTAAACAATTAAGCTAAACAATTCAAATTAATTTAAAGTATTGGGGTAAAATGTATATGGACACCAGCCCGGGGAGTATAAATAAATGCTTGATTTATTCTCTGTGCTTCAGACTGACATTTCCTCAACCTACTTCACATTGGCTCTCTGCATTATAACATAGCTGAGGGGAGATGCTTATCACAACTTATCTTCAAAGAGCGAGAGTGGGTGGAATAATTGCATCGGGGGTTGTTTTATAATAAATACTTTCTCATCTGTTGGGGCCACAGCATCTTCGGGAAAACGTTTTATGTTATTTTAAATGGGCTCCTTATTTGTCTGCCCCCAGACCCCGTCATAGCAATGGAAATGAACCATGTTATGCATTTCTGCTATTTCTGCATTTGTCTTAATATTGTTTGTCTTTTATGTTGAAAGGTTGCAAGTCTTTTCCCCCCATGCTTCTAGAGCAATTACTTAATGTATGTATTCCACATTGTTTTTTTGTCTTTTTTCAGGTTTCTTTTTTGTTTTTGTCACACTAAAGCACAAAATTTTGGAGCACATTGGCTAATTACAAGGTCATGAGTCCAATTTGTAATACCTGTAGGTCTTTATGGTGCATGTAAGTTTATCTTATTTGTTGTTGTTTTTTAACCCTCTATTGCACACATTATAAAGGCAATGTATGCACAAATGTGAAATATCTGATCCAGATTTCTTAATTGGACCTCTATTAAAATCTTTTAAATCTCTATTAAAAACTAATTTATAAAAAATTTTTTTTACAGATATAGATAATACTATGCACCAATGGAAAATAATTAATTACAGATATAGATAATACTATGCACCAATGGAAAATAATTAATTTAAAAGAATATCTGCAATATTTGTGTTAGTCATAAGGACAGCATTTAGCCATGTTTGGTCATTCATATGCTCAAAATTTCAAGCAGGCAAAAAAAAAATTCTTCAGGCAACACTGTGCAAAATAGGGTTCAATAAAATAAAATCGTTTTTAAAATTCATTTAAATATTTAATTTGCCATTAACACTTTCATTTCATAGTCACTTTAGACATTCTACTAACTAAAAGTAACTTTGCAACTACTAGTCATTAATAGACTGTCTGCTTAATATCTGCTAACACTTTATTTTAATTTTTCCCAACAGAAAATCTACTGACTGTAAGTAACTTTGCAAGTACATGTCAGCTTATTCTACTAACAGTCCTAACAGTCTACTAATACTCTGAGTTAGTTGATAAGTAGTTGCAAATTAATGAGAGTTTCTTGACCTAGTTGCAAAGTTACAGTTATAAGAATGTCTGAAGTGGACTATCGAAATAAAGTGTAACCATCTTTGCTTTTGAAAACAGTTCTTACTACTATACAGTAATATATATATATATATATACATAGGGGCTAGATCTCCAGTTAATGTGTATTAACCTGTTTTTTTGTATCTCTCTCTCTCTCTCTTTCACTTTCCCCATCTTACTCCTTCGTTTCCTCAGATCTCCCAGAACCTTGGCAAGATATACAGTGAGATGATATTCGTCAACGGATTTGTGCACTGCGATCCTCACCCCGGCAACGTGCTGGTGCGAAAGTGTCCTGAAAGCAATAAGACGGAAATTGTGTTACTCGATCACGGCCTGTATCAGGTAAGACATCGGCCGAGGCCGCCACAGACTCGACAGAGAAGCAAATTCATCACATATTACACCCCATTATTCACCCGCTGGCTCCCAGGTCAGCTGCGCACTCAGGCCGGTATATGCTGCAGCAGACTAAAAGCATTTCATTTAAGTGGCCCTGAAGCTCCAGTGTGTTTTAGGAACTGCACATTTCCACCTCCCGCTTATTACAAGCAGATGCAAACACACCAATACACACTCTCCTGCAGCTCACTGAACTTCTCTAAATAAATCTGTGGAGATAATATGGTGATAAACATGAAAAAGGCATTGTAGCAATGACATTTGGTTGCTTTGTCCAAAACACTAATTCATGGCATGTCGTGTTAAGTTTGTTGAAAGCCATGGGTTGTGTGTGTCTATGTTAATTAATTGGAGTGGCAAAATGGTGCAGTCCTAGTGGTATTCCAGTGTGTTCTGTTTGTCTCAGTGAAGGATGTGTTGGCCTTTAATTTAACCCGAAGCAGTTAATGAGGCCCGCAAGATTTCATGTTAGCAACTATGAAGTAATATTTTTCTTTAATACTAACAACATAATGAGAAACAAGTTTCCATTTACTCAACTGTCTAAGACTCTTCAGATGGATTAGTTAAGTCTTTCCCTGCCATTGACGGAATTTTCCGGCTTTCCGTGTTTTCATATGTTAACATGTGCGCTATTACACATCTTCTGGAAAGAGTATGTGAATCTCCTGATTAAAACACATGTGAAGAAGAAGCAGAAACAAGCGATAGCATATGTAATCATATGCTTATTTAAAATAAGGCGATCATCAACATTCAACAGCATATAAATCAAAACTGCCTGAAGTTACTGAAGGAAATGTCGACCCAGGACGAGCTATAGGACTGTGAAGGAATTATTGATTTGACTCAATCTACTCCATCTATGTTTTGATCATCGTTCTGAATCACATCTGGATGTAGTCTTTGAAAAAAACGTGATTTTTCTCAGCTTTTTGCTTAAAATGTTGCTTTTTTATGAAACAACTTATGATTCAAGTGTTGATAAAAAAAGAATGCATGAAGCTAGAATAAAACGTTTTTTTTATATATATATATATATATATATATTGCATGTTCAGATATTCATACAATATAATATTCTGGGGGCCATGAAATTCTTGTGAAAAGGATCAAACACGCTGGCGGGGAAAGAGTTAATTGGTTTTTGTGATTTTATTTATTTATTTATTATTATTTTTTATTTATTTTTTTACCTTTTTACATTTTAAGTGTACACTACCATTCAAAAGTTTCAGGTCCGAAAAAATAATTGGAAGAAATTGATACTTTTATTCAGAAAGATTCATTAGATTACAAAATGTTACAAAAGGTTTGTATTTTAAATAAATGCTGTTCTTTTGATCTTTCTATTATCATACAATCCTTTAAAAAATGTATCACGTTTTCACAAATACATTAAGCAGCACAACTGTTTACAATAGCATTAGTAAATAATAGTAAATCAGCATATTAAAATGATTTCTGAAGGATCATGTGACACTGAAGACTGGAGTAATGATGCAGAAAAAGCAGCTTTGAATAAATGACATTTGAAAATATATTTAAATAGAAAACCGTTTTTTTAGTGGTAATACAATTTCACAATATTACTGTTTTTACTGTATTTTTGATCAAATAAATCCAGCCTTAGTGAGCAAGAGAGACTTCTTGAATAGTGTAAACGTGACTCTGTTGCTCTGTTTGTTTGAACATCTTAACCAGCCTGATTTTTAAACAATTTTAGCCCAACCAATACAGTGAATTTGAGGCAGGGACATCTTTTTGGGTTAAAGAAACCAGTTTGAGAACATTCGTTAATTTTATGATTCCGTTTGGTGGCTCTAGTGGTGTAGAAATTACACACTTTTACTTTTAAGCTTCTATTGCGTTTGTTTAAAAACCCAAGCACTAACAGAACAAGTTGTGTCTCTGTCCAAGGTGCTGAACCAGGACTTCAGGCTGGACTACTGCAGGCTGTGGCAGAGTTTGATAAAGGGAGACTTGAAAGGCATAGAGCGTTACAGTAAGCGTCTGGGCACAGGGGATCTCTACCCTCTGTTCGCTTGTGTCCTCACCGCCCGCTCATGGACATCAGTTAATGCTGGCATCAGCCAGACGCCTGTCACTCAATCTGAGGTAATACTCTCTAAGCATTACTGATACCTTTTATTTTGCATAATACAAGGGTGTTTTGATCAAAGTTTGGACACACCTACTCATCCTTTATTGATACTATTTTCCACATGCAATAACACACAAAAAAATATTTCCGTTTAACTTCAAAGTTTTGCTGCGGTGCTTTTTTAACCTTCTGGACACTGTTTGTCCTTTACTATCCCATCCAATTCATCCATGCATACAATGTAAGTGGCAGTCTACCATTGTTACCTTAAAGAGCTATTTCTACCTGATTTAACCCATAAGAATAGTTGTTTTTTGGGTATAAATTGATGTATATACGTTGGTTAAGTGATGTTAAATAATGTTTTGTTTTGTTTTTTTGAAAAAATGGTAACATCTTTGTAAATTAACTGGTTTTATTAGTGATCCATTTATACAAAGGCATACTTTATATTTGCATACAAAACTAATTTGAAGCACTTCAGCATAATCGTTTAAACTTCATATGGTTTTTAAGATAACGAGGAACATAGATGCAGTGTCTAAACTTTTTACTGGTAGTGTATTTTTGTTTTTATTCTTTTTTTTCAGGGACAAATGCAAACAGTTGCTACATTTGCTTGATGTAGTGGTAAGTTAGCAATAACCAGGGAGCAATAACCTCTCCTTCTGAAGGCAATAAAAAAAACAAAAAAACTGGGTAAATTGAGGTTGTGAAAACTGAGGTGCTGGTTAATGCCTTACATTTGTTAGTGACCACAATAACACCTGTTGACCACATTAAAGAGCGATGCTCACCTGTCCTCTCATCGAAACTGAATAACTAGCTGTCCAGGGGGCTGGCCTGGTGGCCAGAGGAGTGCTGTTGGGTTAGTGTGGCCGGGGTAGAGGGTTTCTGAAAGCCAGGCCTGGCCGGAGTTGGCCTCTGTGGGGGACGTTTGGCCATCTGGAGGGTGTCAGGGACATTTATTTATACTTTTATTACATAACCTTTTACAGGACTTGAAAGAGTTTGGGCTGTACACGCATATTAAAACAGAGCATCCAATTTTTAGGAGTCTTCGCTAACACTATTTGCTACCAGGTTCCTGAAGAATTAAAGCTATCTTATTATTACGGGCCTAATATTTAAAGAATAATATTAACAACTTACATTTTATAAAGCGTTAAGCATTATATAACACTTTTTAATACAAAGTTATTTTTAATATATTTAATAGTTTGTTTTGTTTATACTAATACTTATAATAAGTACTTTTTTTCTGTATAACTGTATATAATCATTACTTTATCGAGCTCATTGTTTCTGCCTTAAATTAATACATTGTTTAAATTAATACATTTTTAGCTAACTGTTATTTGTACATAACTTGGACACAGTCTCCTCTGATAACAGATCACTCTAAATTGTAATGTAGACATGCATTTTCTGTAAAGCTGCTTTGAAACAATATGTATTGTGAAAAGCGCTATATAAATAAATGTGAATATATATATATATATATATATATATATATATATATATTACTATAAAAAGTATATACATTTCTTTTTTATAGTACTAAGTATAAATAATAATTTCTTAGTATTTTTACTCAGTATAAATATCTTACAGATTAGCACTAAGCCGTTCAAATTGTATTTATTAACATTTTTATATGTATGTGTACATTTTAAATCATATATATGAAAAAAACATTATATATAGCTTAAAGGTAACACTTTGCAATGAGGCTTCATTTATTAACATTAGTTAACGTATTAACTAACATGAACTAACAATGAGCAATACATTTGTTACAGTATTTATTAATCTTTGTTAATGTTAGTTAATAAAAATCCAGCTGTTCATTGTTTGTTCATGTTAGTTCACAGTGCATTAACTAATGTTAACAAATGTAACTTTTGATTTTAATAATGTATTAGTAAATGTTGAAATTAACATTAGCAAAGAATAATAAATGCTGTAGAAGTGCAGTTCATTATTAGTTCATGTTAACTAATGTAGTTAACTAATGAAACCTTATTGTAAAGTGCTAAAGCTTAAATTGTGTATTATTATACAAATACTGAATACTTTCTCCTGTTCTGACGTAAAATGCTTAGTCAACTTTAAGTAAGCCATTGAAATTAATTGAAATGAATATTTCTCAAACAGGATGTGATAACAGCGTTTGACACCGTCAGATATACTTGACTATTAGCTGATTTGCTGCTTGCTTGTTTTCTGATCCTCATCATTTTCAGGAGCGTTCCACTTAGTCATGCCAGCATGTGGCATTTGAGTGCCCTTTCCTGCAGGTGGCTTTTCTTTGTGGATTAATTACCCCGAAGCCTTTGCGAGGATAATCATGGCCTGGTCCATGGCCACTCATGTTGGGTATGGTTTTTTAGCGGGGTGTAGTACCTCTTCCCTTCTCTCTACCCCTCTGAAAGTGTCTGATTCTCCAAGCCGTGCAAAAGTCTCAGCAGCCATTCCTCCCACCAACATCATCAAATTACCAGAATGTTTTGAAGTAGTCTGGTCTGCCATAATTACAAGCAGTTATAAAGGCAGATTTCACATGTACAGCTGCGCATTTGCAGAAAGGGAGGCTGTCTCATCTGCATAAGAAAGGAGAGATAAGAACATATTGTATTGCCAGCAGAGAATAATGGGCGTTAAAAACTACAACAACAGAGCTTCATGCTTTATGGTCCAGAAGAGAAGATAAAGAATTCTTGAGTTTATATATATAAAGAATACTTTATGCAAGGGTTTTGTTGAGGATTCAGTTAGTGAAATCACTTCAGCAGAACCACTACCATTTGTCAAGTACACATTATTGATTATGCCAGGTCAAATTAACATAACTACATTTACGGTACCATTCAGAAGTTTGGGGTCAGCACGATTTTATGATTTTCACGGATTAATACTTGTATTCAGCAAGGATGCATTAAATTGAACTAAAGTGACCGTTTATTTTTTTTGTCATGATGCAAAAGCCTTTCCCATTTCAGTAACACTTTAAAATAAGATGTTATTTATTTGATGTTTATTAATGAACTACGTGAACTTACAATGAGCAATATTCTTACTGCATTTATTAACCTTTGTTTACTAATGATATATTAGTAAATGTTGAGATTAACATTGATTACACTGTAAAAAAAGTCGTTTTTACAAATAAAACTGGCTGTGGTTGCCAGATTAATTCTGTAAAAAAAAAAAAAATAGAGTAAAAATTTCAACATTTACAGAACAACCTGTAAATTCTACAATTTAAAACTGTAAAAAAATAAAAATAAAAAAATAAATAAAAAAAGGGGGAATCCAACAGCCCTTTTCTGCTGAATTAGCAAGGCCATGCTGCTACTAAAATCTAAAAGGTTTGTACTTTTAAATATATATTGACATTCACCATAATAACTAGTGGTAGAGAGAAAACCACATGATGAATCAAACTTCAAGTATTTTTTCCACAAGCAGAGGTAAATACTAATATATAGTATAGAATGATGCACTCAAATACAAAACACTATCATGGTAACACATATGACACTCAAATAATACAATAAACATTCAACAACATAAACAACATATTTGACAACAGAAAATGTAACATAAAACCCACATAACAGATAAGAAAACATGATTATTAAATTAAAAATCATCAAATGTGAAGTCACACAGGGAATTGTGGGAATGTCAGTTTTTCACTGTAAATTGTTGATTTGTTCTTTTTACTTAATTTTTTTGTACACTTTACTGTAAAATTACATAAAAAATTTAAGGTTAGATCTATTACAGTTTTTCTCTGTATATATAGTATGGGAACTTATTAACATGTTTTTACAGTCTATTACAGTTAAAATTGCAATCATTTCTTTAGTAATCAGTGTAAAATTAATAAATACTGTATAGCATTGTTCATTGTTAGTTCATGTTGTTAAATAATGTTAACAAATGAAACCTTATTGTAAAGTGTTACCACTATATCAAATAAATGCTGCTCTTTAAAACGTTTTATTAATCAAAGAATCCTGAAAAAAAAAAAAAAATCACTGTTTCCACAAGAAAATATTTAGCAGCACAACTGTTTTCAACATTGGTAATAGTAAGATTTTTTTCTTGATCAGCATATTAGAATGATTTCTGAAGGATCTTGTGACACTGAAGACTGGAGAAATGGCAATGGAGTAATGAAAATACAGCTTTGCCACCACAGGTGTAAATTACATGTATTGAAATATATATATATTTCACACTATTTCTGTTTTTACTGTATTTTTGATGATAAATGCAGCCTTGGTGAGCATAAGAGACTTCTTTAAAAAATCTAACCCCAATAGACCCCAAAGCTTTAAACGGTAGTGTGTATTTATTTGTTTGGCAGACCAAAGCTATTTTTATCAGCTTAAGAATAAGAATCAAACCACAACCATATTAGTGCCATGCTGAGTTGAGCTACCGGAATGCTGATTTAGTAGTTTAAGGATTTGCACCCTTTTTGACATCAAGTGCTATTTTTCCTTTTCCTTTTTAACTCCCCTTTTTAATTGTTAATTAATTCTGCAGTGCTAACGGCTGGACTCTTTTTCCCAGCATGCACCACGGCATGAATAAATCATGCAAATTACTCCATCATTGTTGAGTGTTTTTGCTCTGCTGTTGTTCCATTTGAATTACGTGTCATGTGGTGGCAACTTAGCATGCCCTTCTTCTCTTAACTATATGTTTTGGAGTGTTACCATTGTTGTTTTGTGTGTGGAAGGTTAGGGAATGTAACAGGCCTAAAGACATGCTCAAGAACATATTTGCTGTCGTGGTTTATTGAGTCTTGGATAGCGGTCCGCATGGCTCATCTCACAGGTCAGAGTGAGCAGATGCAAACACACACCTCACAGCTGCCTCATCTAACCCTGCACGCCGTTACCATCCACTGACTGCATCTCGACTGCTTCCACACGGTTATTTACAAATGTATGAGTTACATGTATTTTGTAAATTGTGCACTTTCTTAAAAACAATG